GAAGACGTGTCTAGGCCGATGGCGTTCATGTTTCCCAAAGGGTTGCCCCTCCCCCAATGCAAGGCTGACCCAAACTGCTCGCCTGATGGACAAGGCTGGCCCATGCTCCTCCCCCACAGGGTTGGGATCACTGCCCACCCAAGCTCCCTGCGCCCCTCCCTTCTAGTGCAGAACTGGTCTGAGTGTCTCATTCAAGCTCTGCCACTCATGTCATCTGGGGCTGGAATGCTTCTACCCTGGTCTTATCTATACCTTGTGTATGACTTGCATCACTGCTCTATCCCTCATGTCTCCTTATCCTTCTTTCTTGACAAAAGTGGGTATTTGTCCCATTTGGTCTTGCTAACCTATTAAGTTGGCAAGAGCAAACAGGAAAAATGTCCAATTTTGTCAAAAAAATATGTGATTGCCAGGGCAGAATTTAAAAAAGGGACCGTCCCAGGCAAACTGAGATGCATGGTCAGCCTATGTAGGACCCAAAGGAAGAAAGAGGGGAATTATGACCCAATTTGTTTTTCTTTTATCTGGTCCTAGACAAAAATAAGATCTACCTATTTGGTGCAGTGAGCCTTCTAGTCTTGGGATTGATTGAGTAGGCTATGTTCCCTCAGCAGCTGGAGGAAAAGAAAAATGCACAAATACCTAACATAGAAATGCAAATATGAAGTTTCAGTTTTCCCCATACTTCTGTGTGAAAAATCTTCACCTTCTCAAAATTTCATGAAGTCTTGACACCTCACATCAACTGACAACTTTTTTTTATGTGAAATAAGAAAAAATAATCCATTTTCCCTGGATTTGATATTTAACTGGAATGTTTCAGTTGATTTAGTTGGGTGGTTCATTTGGATTAAATCATAGGGGTGTCATATACTTTGCACCTCCATTATCACACTTTAAAATAAAGTGAAATGTGCCCAACATGGTAATTCTTGAAACATGATTTATTAACTGTGTGTGACTGTGCAATCTGATGTAAGGACTCTGAATATCTTTTTTTCTTTGAAAGTTGCTGAAGTTGGACCATCTGAGAAGCCACCAGACAATAAAGGTAGAATTGATTTTTTTTATAAGCAAACTAGAGATACTCAAATCAGGCTATACATATTTTATTTTAGTTTCCTACAAAATTACTGTTAGTTGCCCAGGTCCATGGATATTTATTTGAAATGTGTTGTTGTGATTATTATATCTCAACCTGACTAAAAGCAGAACTCTCCCCTAAAATTCAATTTCAATTAAGGTATTTAATTGTGTTTTGATTGGATCTCTATATGCTATATTTTGTGAGTAACACTACAAAAGTTAACTGTAAAATGTAATGATGTACAGCAATAAAATTCTGCCTTCTGATTCTCCACAACTTACATTGACTTCAGTTGGAACTTTTAGAAATCAGTTCCATTGTTAGATCCTAATAAATATCATAATCCTTAGCAGCCCAAGTAATTGCTTCATATTCATTTGCAGCATTGAAAACAGATGAAGTTGTTCCTGCATCTGCACACCACCTAAGTGGCATGGTAGCTATTCTGGTCCTTCTCATTTTAGTAGGAGTTGGTCTTGCAGGCTATTTTTTCTACAAAAGAAGACACAACCAGCTACCAGTTGCACCAAGCAATGTGAGCTTTGACAACACTCTATATTGCAAAAGAGATGCTGTTCCTGCAACTAGTGAGTCAAAGTATCTCGTGGCAAACATTGAGCAGAATGAGCTTTAATTCATGAAATAAAAATGATTTTGATTAAAAAAAAATCATGCATCTGGACTGCTTTTTCCTGTTAAAGTTGTAGTGCATTTTGCAGAGACTTGCATTTGTGTGTTTCATCTGTACTTTCCATAGTCTTGCAAGTTTCTGCATCTACTTGTAGAAGACTAGCTCAGTAGGAGTCACATAAAAAACCAAATATAACACCAAGCTATTTGAAACATTCAAGTTATTCCACGTTCTCTACTTGGCACCTGCTTCTGTAACTACCATCAAAAGAGCCAAGTGTACCATGAGGATTGTGAGAATAATCATTACAGGCTCTTCAAAGTCCTCAGAAAAGTACTTGTCTAATTTGATTAGATTTCTACTAATCTCATTCCATGGTATCAGGGCTATATTTGAGCATATAAGGCGAGACTTGGTTGTATAACTTTAGTTCAAATAACCACACAACACCTACTCAATGTGTTCTCTTGTAGTGCTTGACCCTCTGAAGTCAATAGGATTCTTTGGTTTGGCATCTCAGGGCACTGGATCAGGCCCAAGCTTGCTTTTCTTTTAGCTCTGCATTACATTTTTTGTAATATATAAACCATGAAATATTTTAAAGGTCTCAGACAGCTTAGCTTCAACAAATGTCATATATTCTGATGTTTATTCCATTTGTGAAATTTCAAACATATTTGAATGCAAGTGTATTCCTCCTCTGGAGATCAATGGCTGAAAGTAAAGTGTAAACTGGTTTAGCTTTTGCCTTAGTTTTGTAAATTAAGCATTAAAAAGATAATTTGTCAAGGTTTCACATTTTTATTATGCCTTGTGAACAGGAATATTTTTATGTAGTACAGCCTTTTAAAAGGAGATAATGAGATTTGTCAGGTTGTCCTGCAGCCACATTTGCTATGTACTGTGATTTTTAAAAACATTTCTTTTGTGCTGTAAGTTTATACAACACTTTAGGGAACATCAGTAGGATTTGATCAGCATATAGGCCTTGGTCAAACACTTTGTCATCTGCTTATCTTTATTGTGACAAAGGTCCTCCTTAACCTTGGTGGGTCCTGCACTTTCAGGCAGATTACTTGCTTCAGAGGTTCACAGCAGCCCACAATTCAGACACCAGCTTGCTGTTTGTGGAGCTGCTCTCATCATTGGCCAACATGGGGGAAAAGAAGAGAAACTAAACTTCATAGTCTTCGTGGCCCCTCCCAGAAGTACAGGGCAGGACAAACCCTTGTACCAAAAGCAATCTCTTTCTAGTACTAAAATGGAAAGCTGGGGGGACAGGACCTGGACCCACCCCCTACTCTGTGTTCCATCCCAGGGACCCTGTAACAGCAGCTGTCTGTAATGTTTCTGATAACATGTGTGACAGCTACAAATCCCTGGTCTACTTCCCCAGCACATTCTTTAGCAGATCTCCTTCATGGTACCTGCTTGCACTTTCTTCTCATGGGCTCTCAATTACACTTTCTCTCAGTAATCCCCACCTCACACACTGAGCAAATGGTTGGGAAGCCTTTTTAAACCAGTCCCAACTGGTTCTTAATTAGCTCCCCAAGGTGTTCTGATTAGTCTGGCTCCCTGGAGTCTGGAAGCCTCCTAATTGATTCCAAGTGTTTTAATTGGCCTGATTGCACTTACTGAGTCTAGCAGATTCCAGCTGGTTCTGGATCAGCCCTTCTTAATCTACCCTGGGAATAGAGATTTATTTAGTCTGGGGCTAATACATTTCTCTTCCACCACTTTCCTATAATCTTCTGGCCTGTCCCTGACACTACATATCTACCAATATTGAACATTAACCGTTAACGTTATCATCTTGCAGATATCATCAAACTGCTCAAAATAGTTAAGACCAAAACAGACTATGAAGAGCTTAAAAAAGATCTCACCAAACTAAATGATTGGGCAACAAAATGGCAAATGAAATTTAATGTTGATAAATGTAAAGTAATGCGCGTTGGAAAACATCATCCCAACTATATATATAATCTGATGGGGACTAATTGGGTTACAACTACTCAAGAGAGAGATCTTGGAGTAATTGCGGATATTTCTCTGAAAACATCCACTCAGTGTACAGTGGCAGTCAAAAAAGCAAATAGAATTATAAGGAGTTATTAAAAAATATATAGAGAATAAGAGAAAATATCTTATTGCCTCTATATAAAAGCAGGGTACTCCCATATCTTGAATACTGCATACAGATGTGGTCACCTCATCTCAAAAAAGATACATTGGCATTGGAAAAGGTTCAGAAAGGAACACCAAAAATGATTAGGGGTTTGGAATGGGTCCCATATGACCATTCTTATGTTCTTATGTTCTTATGTTAACCTTCCTTATATTCAGCAGCTCTGATCGATTTTGAATGTTATAGTTTGTCACTTATTTTAAGATTAGGAGGGCATTACAGAAGACCATCTATTCCCCCTCTTAAGAAGTCTCTCAAATAAGTAAAATAACTAACTAGTTACAGGTCACTAACAATCCTCCCAATTATTTTTATAGAGCAAAGACGGCCTCAGTCAAATTTTTGAGGTATACTATTGAGAGGGACAATTTGTTCTATGCAAGTGTAAAGCATCTCCAGTCAGCAAGTGGGACACCGTTGACTCTCAAGGATGCCCACAAGTCTGTGTGGCATGCCCTGGCTTCGCTGTTGGCCTGGCCCCCTATGGCCCAGCCTGGTATCAGGGTGCCAGGCAGTTGGGGGAACACAGTTTAAGGTCACAGTTTAAGGCACAGCCTGAATTCAGGGCGACGAACAATGGGGGAACAGTAGTTTAAAGCTCCACCAAGTTCCATCCAGGCAAGGGTCAGGTCTCCTCACTCTTTGAGAGCTGACAAGCGCAGGAGGTTTCAACTCACTGGGGGAACCTGCCACCCAATGGGAGGGATAACAGGGAGGGACGTAGGCCCACCCACTCGACTGCGTCTCGGCCCAGGGCCCTGATAGTTGCAGCCTGGAAGCCACTAGGTCAGCGGGGGTCCGGGCTGTTGCATGCTGACAAGGTCGAGGTCAGTGAGGGTCCTGGCTGCAACATGCTGTCCACCCAACCTCCATGTCCTCAGCCGGCCCAAGGTCAGCTATCCTTGGGCCATGTTCTAATCCCACTGTGGGCCTACCAGACTCTGGCGCTGCTCTGGGGGGTCCTCGGGTGACTGAGGGGCTGGCTGGGTGTCCATGGGCTCCAGCTCGGGCAGGGGCCCTAGTGGGCCAGCCCAGTTGTCAGTGCCTGGCGAGGGTCCCGGAGGGTTTGGTGTGGGCTCAGGCAGTGGCCAGTGTCTCAGCAGTCTGAGCCAGGGCTCTGGAGTTGGCAGCGGTCGTGGTGGCCCAACCCAGTCCTCTGACCAAGAGCAGCGTGTCCTAGCCCTTCGCTGCAGGAGCTGGGGCCAGGCATCTGCTCAGGTCAGCTGCCACTCTCTGACTGAGGCTGTGGCTCTTATAGTCTTAGACCTGCCCTCTGGCTTCATGTGGGCAGGGCTAGGTATAGCTGGACCCGCCCAACAAGGGGTCTTAGAGCGTGCTTCCTCTTCCGGGTCAGCAGGTGGCTATGTTGGTGTCCTGGGCTCGTCACACAGAATGTCAAAACACAACAATCCTTAAACTGGTTCTTGAATGCTGGTTTTGCTAACTGCTTGCTGTA